TCCTCTCTCCTCCTCTCTCCTCTCTCTCTCTCTCTCTCATCTCCTCTCTCTCTCTCTCTCTCTCTCTCTCTCTCCTCCTCCTATCTCTCTCCTCCTCTCTCTCCTCTCTCCTCTCTCTCTCTCTCCTCTCCTCCTCTCTCTCCTCCTCTCTCCTCCTCTCCTCTCCTCTCTCTCTCTCCTCCTCTATCTCCTCCTCTCCTCTCTCTCTCTCTCCTCCTCTCTCCTTCTCCTCCTCCTCCTCTCTCCTCTCTCTCCTCCTCTCTCCTCTCTCTCCTCTCTCCTCCTCGTCTCTCCTCGTCTCTCCTCGTCTCTCCTCGTCTCTCATGTCTAACCTCTCTCCTCCTCCTCTCGTCCTCGTCCCTCGTCTCCTGTCTCCTCTTTCCTCGTCTCCTCATCTCTCCTCGTCTCTCATGTCTAACCTCTGTCCTCCTCTCTCTCCTCGTCTCCTCTCTCCTCGTCTCCTCTCTCCTCGTCTCTCATGTCTAACCTCGTGTCCTGTGGTCTCTCAGGTGGCAGTGCCCTTCTCTCCGTCGGGGGGCATGGTTCGCCCGGTGACCGGGTCAGACGTGGGCATCAGACGGGCAGAGATCCGACCCGGACTGCGGGAGGTCATCCTGTGTAAAGACCAAGACGCCAAAGTGGGTCTGAGACTGAGAGCCATCGACAACGTGAGTGCTCCTCCTCTGCACCTCCTCCTCTGCACCTCCTCTCCTCCTCTCTCTCCCTCTCTCCCTCTCTCCTCCTCTCCTCTCTCCTCCTCTCTCCTCCTCCTCTCCTCTTCCTCTCCTCCTCTGCACCTCCTCCTCTGCACCTTCTCTCCTCTACCTCTCCTCCTCTGCACCTTCTCCTCTGCACCTCCTCTCCTCCTCCTCTGCACCTCTTCCTCTGCTCCTCCTCCTCTGCACCTCTTCCTCTCTCCTCCTCCTCTGCCCTCCTCTTCCTCTCCTCCTCTCTCCTCCTCTCTCCTCTGCTCCTCCTCTGCCTCCTCCTCTCCTCTCCTCCTCTCTCCTCTCCTCCTCCTCTCTCCTCCTCCTCCTCTCTCCTCTCCTCTCTCTCCTCTCTCCTCCTCTCTCTCCTCTCTCCTCCTCTCCTCCTCCTCCTCTCTCCTCCTCTCCTCCTCCTCCTCCTCCTCCTCCTCTGCTCCTCCTCCTCCTCCTCTCCTCTCCTCCTCCTCCTCTCTCCTCCTCTTCCTCCTCCTCCTCTCACCTCACCTCCTCTCTCTGCTCCTCTCTCCTCCTGCTCCTCCTCCTCCTCTCTCCTCTCCTCCTCCTCCTCCTCCTCCTCCTCCTCCTCCTCCTCCTCTGCACCTCCTCCTCCTCTCCTCCCTCCTCCTCGACCTGGTGTGATGGTCCTCTGATCTTTCTTTCTTCAGGACCTGTTCTTTCAGCTGAATCCATGTATCATTCGATCATTCGTTTTTCAAAATAAAGCCAAAAACTACTTTTTTCTTCATTATTTTTCTAAAAAAACAAAATTAAAAACTGGATGATGATTTGTTTTTTCAGTTTTTGGTTTTGTGTTTAAATTAATAATGGAAAAAATGGATCAGCTGTTTGTGTTTCATCCAGTTTGACCCTTAAGGGGACAGTCTGGAGTTTTGGACGTAGTTCCTCATCTCTTCGTGGTCCAGAGTCCTGGAGACGTGTGGAGACACTTTCTGAAATATTTCATCAGTCGTTGTATTTTCAGAGGTTGTTGGTGTTAAACTAGAGCAGGTCAAAGGTCACAGTTCTCCTGACACTAAAAACAGTTTTACCCACTTGACAAAACACCTGAGACAAATGTGTTCTTCCCCCAGACTGTCCACGTGAACGTCTGTCACAGAATCATTTTAGAAAGAAAACCAACGTTGCATTGGAAGGATTTCTGTGGGAGCAGCAGTGAGTTGTACTTCCTGATCCACTGATATCATCTGCACCTGTGTCTTAGCGACTCTGTAGTAGTTTGTTTACCTGCAGTTGCCATAGCGACACATAGAGCACATGAAGAAGCCTGTTCCAGTTTTGGCCACGTTCACATCATCACAACGAACTAGAGCAGAGGAAAACTCCACTGCTGCTGAGAAAAGAATCCCTCATGAGATACAAGTTTAGTTTTCTTTCTAAAATGATTCTGTGACAGACGTTCACGTGGACAGTCTGGGGGAAGAACACATTTGTCTCAGGTGTTTTGTCAAGTGGGTAAAACTGTTTTTAGTGTCAGGAGAACTGTGACCTTTGACCTGCTCTAGTTTAACACCAACAACCTCTGAAAATACAACAACTGGACGGATTATTTCATAAAGTGTCTCCACACGTCTACGGTACTCTGGACCACGAGGAGATGAACCTTTACACACGTGTGTGTGTGTGTGTGTGACCAGGAGGGGGCGTTAAACAAACCTGTCGACCGCTGGACGTGAGGATCATTATTATATGATTAAACAGTTTTTGGAGGATGAGATTTGTGACACTGTGGAAGTTTGTTAAACTGGAGACGCCCGACCGCAGATCAGACGACGGTGAAAAATCATCTTTACATCCACTGACCTGGAATATGACACAGATTTAGTTTTTTCTGTCGTCATTTCTTAAGGTTTCCCTCTTATTTCTGTGAAAAAGGACCTGTAGGTTTCCACATGAGTTTTCATCGTGCACTTCCAACAGGCACATACATGGATGTCTATGGCTTTTTCTGCTTCACTTAGGGAAATGTGTCACTTTCGGGTCTCGGAAACGGGAAACACTGATCTGTTTTTTCCATTATTCATTTAAACACAAAACTGAAAACTGAAAACAAACCGTTTGCCTCATTATTTGTCTCCAAATCCAAAAAAACGGCTAACAGTTTTTATTTTTGGTTTTATTTTGAAAAATGAATGAATGAAACAGGGATTCAGCTGGTGCAGTCGAACTCTCCTCCTCCTCTTCTTCTCCTCCTCTGATGGTGTGATCTTTCTCTTTGTCCAGGGCGTCTTCATCCAGCTGGTGCAGTCGAACTCTCCGGCGTCTCTGGCTGGTCTTCGTTTTGGAGATCAGGTCCTTCAGATAAATGGTCAGAACGTGGCCGGGTGGAGCGTGGACAAAGCTCACAAAGCTCTGAAGGCCGCCGCCGAGACCCGGATCGAGATGGTGGTGAGGGACAGGTGAGTCTGGGCAGGTGAGGCAGGTGAGGCAGGATCAGGAGGCGGAACGTATCAAAACTAAAACTAGAATCGAAACTCGCTCCTCATTTTCCTCGGGTCTGGATCCTAAAACGGTCCCATTGTTTTGGAACCTTTAGAACCTTTAGAACGTTTCCTGGACGTGTTTAGAAGGATGTGGAGCTGGATCAGGATCAGTGTAAGAGCAGAGAGTCTGGTCCTCAGTGTGGAGCGGCCGGTGCAGGTTTACACACGTTTGTTTCCGGGCTTTTCCTCAGTGTTTAAATGTTTTAATTGAATCGTTGGGACGACAATAAGAATATTTCAAAGTGGATTTAGTGTAAACGTCTGTGGCTTCTGAGCCTCGGTTTTTAACATTTGAAGTCTGTAAACGTTAGAACATAAAGTGTGTGTTTGGCTTCCTCTGCTGGACGCTGGACGCACATAACACACACGGTAAAACTCTGCTCTGTAGTTTAGTTTGAGTGTAGTTTTACTGTAGTTTTGGTGTAGTTTTACTGTAGTTTTATTGTAGTTTTATTGTAGTTTTACTGTAGTTTTACTGTAGTTTTGGTGTAGTTTTACTGTAGTTTTAGTGTAGTTTTATTGTAGTTTTAGTGTAGTTTTACTGTAGTTTTAGTGTAGTTTTACTGTAGTTTTTATTGTAGTTTTATTGTAGTTTTAGTGTAGTTTTCGTGTAGTTTCCGTGTGTAGTTTGTAGTTGTATTTATATTATTAAAAGTAAAATCAAATGCAGAACATTTTGAAACTGTCAATAAGTTTCAGTTTTGTTCCCAACACTGTGTTTGTTTACAGTCACATGTATCACTAAAGAACACACACACACACACACACACACACACACACACACACACACACACACACACACACACACACACACACACACACACACACACACACACACACACACACACACACACACACACACACACACACACACTACATTCCCGGCGAAGCCCTCCAGTGAGGTCTTAGTTAAACCTTCAAAGTGAGATAGCTTTCCCAGTGTTTTATGAACAAACAAATTCACTTTCTGGACATTAGTGGAGTGTTGAGCTATACACTCCATTAAAAAATTTTAGAAACAAGATTTAGAAAAAGTTTTTAGCCATCAAGTGAGGACCTTAGACCATGTGACTTTCACAACTTGAGACAATGAAATTTTTAGCAAAGATAGCAGATTTTTCATTTTTTTGTAAAACAGGTTATCTAACATGTCAAATAAGCTACCCCAGATATTTCTGGTGTATTTCCAATTTTGTGAGTGTATTTTGTGTGTAATGTGAGCATTTTAAAGCTGTGATATTAAGTGCAGACTGCAGGAGCACACGGCCTCTGATTGGACGACGCAACAATGTTACAAATGAGAGACAAACTGTGAACTTTTGACCTGGCACTGGATCCACAACTGAACACACTTTAATATGACACACATGTACTACTACTACTACTACTACTACTACTACTACTACCACTATATTATTACTTACTACTACTACTACTACTACTACTACTACTACTTACTACACTACTACCACTACTACTATACTACTACTACTACTACTACTACTACTACTACTACTACTACTACTACTACTACTACTCATACAGTAACTACTACTACTACTACTACTACTACTACTACTACACTACTACTACTACTAACTACCACTACTATCACTACTACTACTTACTACTACTACTACTACTACTACAAAAAGCATGCTACATAGGTCTCATAAACAGTTGATAGCATGTCAGTTAAAATACAATCATTCAATCATTGTGTCCTTAGGCAAGACACTTCACACACATTGCCTCGTATGAAAGTGGTGTGTGTGTGTGAGTGATGGTGGTGTGCGGAGGACCGATGGCGCCGATTGACATGGCAGCCGTGCTTCTGTCAGTCTGCCCCAGGGCAGCTGTGGCTACAACAGTAGTTTACATCAGCAGGTGTAGAGTGAATGAATAATGCTGTATGAATGAATGCTGAATGAATAGTGCTGAATAATGCTTGTAACGCTCTTTGGGGACAGAAATGTCTGTGAAAGCGCTATATAAATAAAGCTACTTACTTACTTACTTACTGTACTATACTTACTACTACTGCATGTACTACTACTACTGTACTACTACTTACTACTACTTACTACTACTTACTACTACTACTACTACTACTACATGTACTACTACTACTACTATACTACTATACTACTACTACTACCTATGCACTACTACTACTACTCTACCACTACTATCTACTTACCTGTACTACTACTACTACTACTACTTACTACTACACTACTACTACTACTACTATATACTACTACTACTACTACTACTACTGTACTACTACTACTGTACCACTACTTACTACTACTGTACTACTACTACTACTACTACTACTACATACTACTCTACATTACCTACTATCACTAATACTACTACTACTACATACTAACTAATCTACTACTACTACTACATTACTATACTACACTACTACTACTACTACTACTACTACTACTACTTACTACTACCACTACGTATACTATACTACTACTCACTACTATACTACCACTATTACTACTAATACTTACTACTACTACTACTACCATACTTACAACTACTACTACTACTACTACTACTACATGTACTACTACTACTACTTGACTGTACTACTGCTACTACTACTACTACTACTACTACTACGACCACTACTACTACTACGATCTGCTACTACGACTGTTACTACTGCTACTTGTCTACTACTACTACGCTAACTACGACTGCTACTACTACTACTACTGCTAATACTACTACTGGCTTACTACTACTACTGCTACTATTACTACTGCTACTACTGCTAACTAACTACTATCTACTACTACTACATGGTACTGCTACTACTGCAATAACTGCTACTACTATACATGTACTACTACTACTACTCATGTAGTACTACTTACTACTACTAATGTTAACTACTACTACTACATGTACCTACTACTACTACGACTGATACTCTGCTAACTACTACTAATGTCTACTACGACTGCTACTACTACTACCTACTGTCTACTGCTGCTGGCTTAACTACTACTGCTGTCTACTACTACATTACTACTACTACTACATGTACACTACTACATGTACTGGCTACTACTGCTACTGATTATTACTACACATGTACTACTACTACTACTACATGTATACTACTACTACTTAACTAATGTACTAACTACTACTACTAACTACTGTACTACGTACTACTACGCTACAATGTACTACTACTACTACATGTACTACTACTTCTACATGTACTACTACTACATATACTGCTACTACTGCTACTGCTATTGCTACTACTACTACCTACCTAAAACTACTACTTACTTACATTGTAGTACTAATACTATATGTACTACTACTACTACTACATGTAGTACTACTACTACTACTATATGTACTACTACTACTACATGTAGTACTACTACATGTACTACTACTACTACATGTAGTACTACTACTACTACTACATGTGCTGCTACTACATGTTCATGTACTACTACTACTCCTACTGCTACTACTGCTACTACTACTACTACTACATGTACTACTACTACATGTACTACTACTACATGTACTGCTACTACTGCTACTGCTACTACTGCTACTGCTACTACTACTACTGTACTACTACTACATGTACTACTACTACTACTACATGTGCTACTACTACAACATGTACTACTACTACATGTACTACTATTACTACTACTGCTACTACTACTGCTACTGCTACTGCTACTACTACTACTATACTACTACTACTACTACATGTAGTACTACTACTACTACATGTAGTACTACTACTACTACATGTGCTACTACTACTACATGTGCTACTACTACTACTACATGTGCTACTAATACAACTGCTACTACTACTACTTATACACCAACAATCATGTACTACTAACTGTCTACTACTGCTCTGCTTACTGCTACTACTACTACTACACATAACATGTACTAACTACTCATGTACTTACTACTACATGTAGCTACGACTGCTACACTGCTGCTAACTACTACTACTTCTAAACTACTGCTATACTAACTACTAATGTACTGCTACTACATGTAGCTACTACTACATGTACTCTCGACTGGCTCTGCTGCTACTGCTACTAACTAACATGTACTACTACTTTCATGTACTACTACTTCATGTAACTACTATATACTCTATACTACTACTGCTACTGCTACTGCTACTGCTACTCTACTGCTACTACTACAACCACAATACATGTACTACTACTGCTACTATGCTACTGCTACTGCTACTAACTACTACTACTATGCAATACATGTACTACTGCTACTACTATGCAATACATGTACTACTGCTACTACTACACAATACATGTACTACTACTACTACTACTACACGTACATGTACTACTGCTACTGCTGCTACTACTACTACTACTTCTACTACTGCTATTACTGCTACTACTGCTACTACTGCTACTACTACTAACTACTTTTCTCTACTAAACTACAACCCCAAATAATGTACTAACTACTATACAACTACTACTACTACTACTACTACAACAGTACATTACTACTGCTTACTGCTGCTACTACTTACTCTTAACTACTTACTCACTACTATGCTACTGCTACTACTACTCTGCTCTACTACACTACTACATGTACTAATAACACTGTGCTACTACTACTATCATGTGCCTACTACTGGCTACACTACTTCTACTACTGCTACTACTTCTACTACTACTACATGTACTACTACTACTTCATGTAATACTACTACTACTACATGTGCTACTACTACTACATGTACTACTACTACAACATGTACTACTACTACATGTACTACTACTACATGTCTACTACTACTACTGCTACTATGACAACAGCTACTACTACCACTACTACTACTGCTATAC